AGTTACATTGCATCTGGATTCCATTATTTAGATATTTTGTTGCAGAGCTATACTAGGTTTGGGTATTCAACCACCTTTTTAATTATTTTTTTCAATGAGTGTGAACATTTGGTATAATATACAATAACATGGGTTATTCCTGGGTGTGGTGGTGTTCGCAGGGTTTTAGGATGAGGGAAGAGATGAGGACCTGACTCCATGTTTTAGAAGGCTTGATTTATTTTTTATTACATATATTATATTAAAACTATACTAAAAGAATAGAAGAAAGGATTTCATCAGAAGGCTAGCTAAGAACAGAAAAAGAATGATAACAAAGGCTTGTATCTCAGACAGAGTCTGAGCCAGCTGACTGTGATTGGCCATTAATTAGAAACAACCAACATGGACCAATCACAGATGCAGCTGTTGTATTCCACAGCAGAAGATAACCATTGTTTGCATTTTGTTCCTGAGGCCTCTCAGCTTCTCAGGAGGAAAAACCCTAAGGAAAGGATTTTTCATAAAATGTGTCTGTGACACCTGGGTGGAGGAACATTATTGTTGCAAGCCTGGGCTGTGCCCAGTCTCACCTGGAGCATGGGGAAAAGGTCTGGTGACATGGTGGGTGCTATTATTTGTGTTTTGCTCACTGGAAAGGTCCCAGCCAAGCCCTGTTTGTACTCAGTGAGCCTGGCGTGTCCCTTTTGCCGAGATAAGGGGCAGTGGGTGGCACTGGGGTGGCACTGGGGTGGCACTGCAGGGCTGGCACTGCTCCTGTGCCCAGGCTGCAGGATCTGCCTGGAGGGATCAGAGCAGGTGATTCCAGGCTGTGTGTGCAGTTCCTAGGGGAAACAGCAGCCCTGCTATTCAGAAAGATTATTTTTCATTTGATTTCATTTTTTCTTGCCAGTAAAAGATTCCTGCAAACACTGAGCTTTTAAATTAAAGGGAGTTAATGAAAGTGTACCTGTGGTAACTATTACCAGGTCCCTTGTACATTCAGCAGTCGCATTAAGATGATTTCTTATTATCTCTAAATCCATTCCAGAGGTATGTTCTTGCTGTTACAGCCCTCCTGTGCACCATTGCAGGTGCAGGTTTGCTGCCCAGCATGGCAGATAATATACAGTCCAACTGTGTTGCTACAGCCCTGACTTGGATTTTTAGGTTTTTTTTTTTCTGAGACAGAGGAGCTGGGGCTTATGAAGAGTCCTGCTCAACCTTGCCTGTGGATAAAGCATGTTCTTGTATCCACATCCCCTGGGCATTCCTAATGCAAATAGATACTTCACCTAAAAGGAGAGATCTTTTGTTCTAAGAACAGCAATGCAGTTTTCAGCTGAGACTGTGCTGTGTTGTATGAGACAATATTAAACAAGACAGAAATGGAATATTATTTTGGTATAGACAAGGCTGTGCAGCCTCTCCAGTCCCCTGAATGGATTAGGCAGGGTTTACTAGCAAGGAAGACTGTCCAAAACATACTTGGTGCATTGTCAGACACAGGCAGCCCATGAAATACACATTTTCATGCAGCAGTTTCTTCATTTTGATTGAACCAGGCTTTGGTCCCTGAGCTCTTCTCCCTGATACAGATGGCAAGTTTTGCCATTCTTTTAGTTTTGGTCCAATTCTGAGTAACTGATTGTTCCTAATTCACAATGTCTGTTCTTCCTAAAGAACTGGTCAGTGCTTAAGAGTCATTTGGATAACAATCTTAATAACTAATTTTAATTTTTGGTCAGCCCTGAAGTGGTCAGGAAATTGGACTGGACGACCATTATAGGTCCCTTCCAACTGAAACAGCCTTCTTCTCTTCTCTTCTCTTCTCTTCTCTTCTCTTCTCTTCTCTTCTCTTCTCTTCTCTTCTCTTCTCTTCTCTTCTCTTCTCTTCTCTTCTCTTCTCTT